TATATATGATGAAACACAAGGCAAAAAGCCCTGGGTTGAACTCCAAGTAACACACACACACACACACACACACACACACACACACACACAGGGAGCAGAGGGTTGGGAGAGCAGCTCAGTGGTGGAGCATATACTTAGCATGTCCAAGGCCTTTGGTTCAATTCCCACCACTGCAAAAGTAAAAATTTTGGAAAGAATAAGCATAATGACACACACCTGTAATCCCAGCAATGAGGGAAGATGAGGCAGGAGAATGGTGGATTCAAGTCTTACCTGCGGAATTTACTGACACTCTGTCTCAAAATTAAAAATAACAAAAAGGGGATGTAGCTGAATACCCTAGAGTTTGATGCCAAGTATCACAAAAAAATTAACATGTTTTAAAAAGTGGGAACAAACCAAAGTTTTAACACAAAAGAACCAGTGGGAAGAGGCAAACAACCAACCCCTCAGATACTTAGACCAGCTTTGAGGGAATGAGGGGAGGAGAAAGAAGGTAAGAAGCACCCCTGAAGGGAAGATTAGTCACTGGAAGCAAAGACCATCCACCTGCCTAGTTCAGAAGTGAGCTGGTGCTCCAAAGATGTAGCCTGCCCACTGGCCACAGGCCTGACTCCTGGTTATTAAGCAATGGTTCAGGACAAAAGACGGTTCTCCCAGAGGTCAAGGAACAAAAGCTATGGACAAAATGAAGACATAGCAGAGGGCTACTGGAGAAGTAGTTGAGAAATTCCTAGAGAATAAGAGGTGTTAAGCAAGCCCACAGTAGGAGTACAGCACCCAGTGTGAAGAGGAAGGTTCAGGCTCTCATGAACTTGCTCCCTGGACTTCTCAAATGTCCAGGGAGATGTCCCTTCCAACCAAACATATACCAAGGCGTGAAGAGGACAGAAAGGAGCCCATGCTAAGAATCTGAGGATGCCCAAGAGTGTTCTTCTTCAAAGACATAGGTTAGGGAAATGAAAAAATGTCTTTGCATCAATGTTTAGTGATCAGGTTTAAAACAACAATTTGGGCTGGGGAGATAGCTCAGCGGTCTAAGTGCCTGCCTGGCAAGCACAAGGACCTGGCACCCCATGCCATGCTGCCCTGCTGTGCTGGCCACCAAAATTGGGCATGGTGGTGCATGCCTGTAATCCCAGCGCTGAGTAGGGTGAGACAGGAGGATCATTATGTATCTGAGCTGTGTAGTGAGACCCTGTACCAAATACATAATTTTAAAAAAAGAAAACAATTCATTAGGTTTGGGTTTATCAATAAAAAACTCAAAATTATGGGACAGTTTCCCCTTCAGAGAAGGACACAGAGGTCAGCCTCCACCTCAGCAAGTATTTGGCACTGTCTCCTACCTCAAGAAATGTCAGCCACTTACAAGTTCAAGAGCAGCACAGTAGGATCCATAATATACTCTTCATTTCCAGAAGAGGTTACTTGTAAGAACAAACAATGGGGTGTCATGATCCCAAAACAAGAGGAGTGACTGATGTGATTTCAAATGGTGCTAACCACACAAAGGATACACAGCTTTTCATCATCCTGAAATGTGAAGTAAAGCTTAACGAAGAAAGGGTGATCCAGGCGTGACATCACATCTCGCTCTCTGGTTACATACGGGACCTTGTTTTCTTTTATAATATGACGTTTCTCCAGAATTTTAACTTAAGGTGAAAAAAAAAAAGTTATAACTGGAAAAGGTAAAAAAAAGTAAAGATACATTTCATGAAAGTACTAGCACTAGTTTTTCCAAAATCACTCATAGCAGCTTCATGAGTCTAAGACCTAGACCCTAAAATCAGCACAGAGACCTCTAGCCTTGTCAAAAAGCTGCCACATTCATGAAGGCTGCCCTATCTCCAAGTCCCAGACACACAGCTCACTGGAGCAAGTACTTACTAGCATATTCTCGAGAGGTGGCTAGTTCTCGGGCCAGGACAACCTGGTTTGGGAAGAAAAGGGGAAAAGGAGAAAAAAAAAACACTGTAATAACCAGGAGACAGTCTGACTGATCAATGCCACAGGCTTACCCACCCCACTAAAGGTTTGAAATACATTTAAATATTTTGTTTCTAGGGCCAGCCTGATAGCTCAGTGAACTAAAGTACCTGCTTAGGCAGAGCACAGTGGCCAGGGTGTGATCCCTGGCGTGGCAGGCATGCCAGCACTGCCCATAGGGCGCGCTGAGATGGTGATTGAGACTGGATGTGGTGGTACGTGCCTGTAATCCCAGTGTTTGGGAGGCTGCAAACAAGAGAATCACTACAAGTCCTATCTACGTAGTGAGACCCTATAGACCCTGTCCTAAATACATTTAAAAAGAAAAAAGGAAAGAAATATTTTGGTTCTGATACTAACAAAGAGCAGAACACCCCTGTTCAAGGGTAAGGTATTCACCTATTAACATATAAAGTTCTCCACTGTTTCCAAAAGGTCCACATCAATTGTCAATAGTCCTTAAAGTACAATAAAAATATAAATTCAAGAACCTCAGAGGGGAAAAAAAACCAAAACTCAGTAACATGTTCAAATACTACTGCAAATGACTACCAGGAATTTTTTCAAAAAATAACTTCAAGGACCAGCCAAATAGCTCAGCGGGTTCAATCCCTGGGCCTGCCTGCCAGCTGAGATAGCAACTGAGACTGGGCGTGGTGGCACAGCCTGTAATCCCAGTTCTTGGGAAGCTGTAAATAGGCAGATCACTACTCCAATCTAGTAGTGAGACCCTAAACACCCTGTAGACCCTTCCCTAAAATTAAAAATAAACTTCAAGGATATGTCCTTTTAATATATATCCACGACAAAAAGCTGTGCTCAACATTTTTCAAATGATTATCATGCACTTCCTTCTCTCAACATTAAGTACAATCATGGCTATAAATGGCATAGGGACTAAACCAGTGAGCCATGTTCCAAGGACACACCCATGTGGCCCTCCTTGTCCTCTCAGCACACCTGAGCCAATGCTGAGACTTCACTTCAGGGATAGAGCACCCAACAAAGCATCCCCAAAATGGAATAGATCACTCTGCACTAACAAACCCTAGGCACACCTGAAGAAGCAAAGTGGAAGAATCTTTGGCACCCAGGTCTAGCTAGTACACCCAGGGCCTGCTTTATTGTGGAAGGGCTTACCATATACAAATGTGTCTCCTAAGACATCTACAGAGGGATAGCCTGAAGACCAGAAAGCAGATGAAACCTGTCCCTTTGATATTCGTGGGCACAGAGGCTTTCAGGAGGTCATCGGGCCAGGCCCTCCTAGCCCCTGGTTATGTGAGTCATATCCTGTAACAGAATTCTTGGGATTCTCCCCACCACCACCACCTGCCACGCCCCACACTAGGGATGAAACCCAGAGTCTCCAGCATGTTAGGCAAACCCTCTACAACCGAGTTATATCCCCAGTGACATTTTTTTTTTTTTTTTTGGCCGAACCGGAGATTGAACTCAGGCCCCTGTACTTGCCAGGCAAGCACTTATTCCACTGAGCCATCTCCCCTGCCCCGTTGTGACATTTCTTGGCAGGACTCTTCAGACTTGAACCTGGAAAAGCACTGTGAGATGCCTACCTTCACCCAGAATGAGGCTGGGGAGAGATTGGAAGGGGTTGGGCAGGGGAGGAAAGAGATCAGGTTATATGTGCTGAGGTGGAAAGATCTTTTACATCTTTCCAGGGGAACATGGTATATGGAGGGTTGCCAGCAGGAGGGGTGCGGGGAGCAGGCTGGGGCAAGACTTCTCCTGTTCAGAGCTATGCACTTAAGCAACATAACATTCCTTCACGTGAGTGTGTATGTTAGCTTTGTAAGTACAAAAAAAAAGGAACTGTTAAGAGAAGACTACTGTTAAGTGTAATACTAAGGCAACACCAGAAAGGCAATCTTTCTGTTGTCTTATTTTAGCATTTTATGAGGTTTCTCATGGGAAGCAAGGAGTCTTTCAGAAAATCTTATGTGATGTGTCCCTCCACATCACCTGCGGTGACAGCAGGGCTACCTGGAGGGAGTAAGGGGGGAAGACACTCTTACACACCTGTGCTAGGCCCTGACAAGATTCTGTTCAACCTTATAACCATATTCATCCCTTACCATTCTCCTGGAAATTTGTTCTTTCTTCTTTCTTTCTTTCTTTCTTTCTTTCTTTCTTTCTTTCTTTCTTTCTTTCTTTCTTTCTTTTCCATCTTTTGAGACATGGTCTCACTATGCAGTTCAGGCTGGCCTTGAACCCATTTTGTAGCCCAGGCTGGCCTTGAATTTACATGGATACTCTGGCCTCAGGATTACAGGCATGCACCATGCCTGGCCTTTAGAAGTCTGTTTCTGTTTTGTTTGCAGAACCAGGGATTAACTCATGCCCTTGCATTTGCCAAGTAAGCTCTTATTCTACTGGGCCATCTCCTGGGCCCCTAGAAGTCTGATTTTAAATTGCCTCTATTTCAGGAATGATGAGAAAGTTTAGAGGGTTAACATCTAAGTAAGACTGAGGCTACAGATTCCAAATAGCCAGGAGAGGAGCCTCTGGCTTACAGCACTTTTCCAGGTACTATATGGCACAGGACAAATACGCCACCCAGAGAGGATGGTGCTTACTTTGCAGCCCATAGACTCAGGAGCATGCCAGTACCATAAGTCCATCCTCATTCTAGTTGAGATAAACGTGAAGAAGCAAAACTGAGAACAACGGAGAGTTTTCATGGGAAGTCCTAGGTAGCAAAGTTCTCAAAGCAGTTTCCTCTTACTCCCAGGGGCAGTGAGCATCAGAATCACTGGGAGCTTATCTTCAGGGCTGAAGCCTTTTGTCATGAGGGCACAGTCATTTTTTACATAAAATTAACTCAAAAGGGCTGGCCAAATAGCTCAGTGGGTTAAAGAGCCAGGGGTCGGGTGTTTGATCCCTGGGCCTGCCCTGGGCCTGCCATGCCGGTGCTGGTGCCGGTGTTGGGGCCTGTGCACACTGAGATGGCAATTGAGATTGGGCGTGGTGGCACAGGCCTGTAATCCCGGCTCTTGGGAGGCTGTAAACTGGTGGTTCACTAGGAGTTCAATCTAGTAGTGAGACCCTGAACACCATGTAGACCCTTCCATAAAATACAAAAGAAAAAAAATTAACCCATAAATGTTGCTAATAGACAAGCATGGTGGTACGCATCTATAATCCCAGTATTTGGGAGATTGAGGCAAAAGGATTACTACAAATTTGAGGCCAGCCTGGGCTACAAAGTGAGTTCAAAGCCAACCTAAACTACATAGAGAGGCCCTGTCTTTAAAAAAAGTATAAGAGCAGTAAAAGTTAACATTAATTTTAAAAACATGTTTAGAACATAGGTAAACTATATTCCATGTTTTTTCTGTATTTCAGAATCTTTCTTTTATAAATGTAAAAAATGGAAAAAGAAAGTAAATTCTTCATACGGTTTCTTTAGAAAGCCCAAGAAGGCCAGGTATGGTGGTGTAAGCCTGCAATCCCAGCACTTAGCAGGCTGATGAAGTTGGAAGATCGCTGAAGTTCAAGGCCAAAAAGGCCAACCCGCACTAGAAAGTGAATTCAAGGCCAGCCTGAACTGCATAGGGAGACCTTGTCTCAAAAAGGAAAAAAAAATTAAAATATTTTAAAAATTTAAAAAAAGAAAGCCCGGGCAGGAAATACTAGTTATTCAGGAAATCTTCCACAGTGAGGCATCCATAGGGTCCCCTTAAAGTGCCTCTTGAAAACTGAAGACCACACATGGGACCACCACATGAAGGGATCAATTTATCCTTCCGCACGCCTTAAAGTGCCTCTTGAAAACTGAAGAGCACACATGGGACCACCACATGAAGGGATCAATTTATCCTTCCGCACGCGGAGTCCCCTTTGGATTAAGAGCATGCTTCTGGAGCGGGGGCTCCTCTGAGGTCACAACCTTGCTACAGTTGCATCATCTCAGTGGCCCCATCTCAGCAAAGGTTTGCTACTTTCAACCTTCATATCTTTGCTTTCAGAGCAAAAATACTACAGGACAGGTAAATTTCATGAGTATGATTTGACAGCACTTTCACCAGATTTCTGTTTATGAAACTAAGAACAAAGAATCTGGGAGCAATATCTCTAGCAAATGTCCAGGTGTACTACTTCATTTATTAATACAGAAACCACCAGAAACATTTTTTTAAAAAGTCATTTAACGTTATCAAAAATTTCTTTTTTTTTTTTTCTTTCTTTTTTTTTTGCAAAACCAGGGATTGAACTCAGGCCCTTGTGCTTGCCAGGCAAGCACTTATTCTACTGAGCCAACTCCCTGGCCCTATCAAAAATTTCTGAAGAGTTACTAACACTAACTTTCAGTCTAAGGACAGAAAAACTTCCCGGGGAAAGGAAAACACAGAAGGCAACCTGTTGATGCCAGGTTAGAATGAAATTAACTATGCTAAATAAGAACAACCACTGGCTGGGCACATGTTAGGAAGCTGTGACAGAAGGATGGCAAGTTCAAAGCCAGTGAGACTAGTTCTCAACAATAAAGTTTCTTTTAAAGGACTAGAAATATAGCTCACTGCTAAAATACTTACCTGAGTTCAATCCCCAGCACCAAAAAAAAAAAAAAAAAGGTAAATCAAAAGGGTTTTTTTTGTTTTTTTCCTGAGGTGGAGTCTCAGTATGTTGCCAGGTTGGCCTCAAACTGGACTTAAGTGACCCTCTCCCACCTCAGCCTTCAAGTTCTGGGAATATAGGTGCACACCACCATGTTTAGCAAGAGATACTTTTAAAGTCTTCATAAACAGGCTGTTTTACTATCTCCTGTCTGCTTGCTATGGACTATTTCTCCTCTGCAATGCCCCTTTGCCATAACACCCTGCTTTGGAACCAGCCAACTATGAACTGAAACCTCCACAGACTGTAAGCTAAATAAATTTTCATCCAAAAAAAAAATTTCATACACAAAATCACATGGTCTGCTAGGCTAGCCCAGTCCTAAAGCCTCCATCAGTATTTTTGTTTGTTTGGTACCACAAATCAAACTCAGGGTCACACACTTGCCAGGCAGATGCTGTGCTGCTGAGCTACATCCCTGGCCTTCACCTGTCTTCATAACAGGAGGTGGCCCCACCTCCTGGGAAGAACACTGCCTGAAAATTGAGTGTCCCAGCTCTAAGCCCCAAGACAGGGGAAATATGCTCATTTAACAAGCAGTGGCAGCACATACTCACTGTCGAAAAAGAACCCTCGCCAAGAATTTTCCCAAACTTGAAGTCTTCAGGCCGTTTCTTTCGAGGCTGTGGTGGCGGCTGGGCAGCATGCTGCAGGGGGTTGGCACTTGGCCGGGACTCGGCTGTGGTGCCATCCATGGTGGAGCCCTGCCTGATGCCACCACTGGGAACACTGGGAGCTGTGCCAGACTCGGTCTGTGTCCTCACCATTGATGGGGATGGGCAGGCACATAACACCACGCTGGACTGGATAGGAACGGTGTCATACTGTGGACACAGAGGACAGAAGTTAAGACAAGGGATTCTTTGGTCCTGGGCACATGGCTTAAGTATAAGTACCACTTCAGGGCACTGCTTATAGCAGAACAGTCCATCTGACCTCCTGATGGCTTTGAGGCTGCTAACTTCCCTCCTCTTCATATCCAACTGCTGTTCCACCTCTTCCTCAGCAGCCCCTCACCTCTCCCTCAGCACTGTATGAGTCTCCAATCAACCCCCCACAAAGCTAAACTAAGGCCACCAGAGATAGAACTGTGCATTTTTAGTTATGGAAGGGGCTAAGTAGATAAGAGCAATGATTAAATATGTTTACAATTCAGAAACTCCCAGGGCTGACAAGATTATGCTAAAGTAAGCACACTCATACAACTGCAGCTGGCACCAAAAAAACATTTGGCTGTTAAAATGTTTTTACAAAGCAATTTGGCAATTGTCAACAAAGCAACCACAAGAACACTTGTCAATGAGATACAGAAATATGAAAATGAGAGGAAGCCGACCATAGTGGTACGTGCCTATAATCCTAGCACTCAGAGTTTGAGGCCAGCCTGAGCTACACAATGAGCTCAAGACCAGCTTGGACTAAAGAGCAAGACTCTGTCTCAAAAAAACAAGAGAGAGAAAGGAAATACATAGTTAAGGATAGAATGGGGGCCCAGGGAGATATCTCAGTAGAATAAGCATTTGCCTGGCAA